TAATTTCTTATTAGGCCGAATTCAGTATATTCAAATCCGATCTAATTCATTTGGGAATTTGTCTAAAATCCAAGATCTGATTTCATCTGTCGTTTCGATAAATTCCTTCTAATTTATTCCGATAACTTGTTTGTTGCGACGTTCAATCGCATCACGGCTCGTGGGGTGTTAGCCCCTCATCATGTATCACATCTTTCAGGACCCGAAGTCATCTCTTCAAGATCCACCAGTATATTCTTAAGCATCAGCTACAGCAAACCATTGCATGACTAAGCTGGTCTGAGACACATGGCTGCATGGTCTTGAGATGCAGTTTCCACCTACCATCAGATCCTCCGAATAAACCCCAACCTAGAAACCCTGCACCCTAAAGCTCCAAACTCTCAGCCCTTAAGCCTTCAACCTTCGGCATTCGACCCCAAACCCTAAACTTGTGAACCGAAGTCCTAAGCGCCGATCGCAGCCTCAGACCGTCGGCTTAGCCTCGGCAGTTGTTTTGTTTGTTTTCGATGTGCCAAGGGCATCTGAATCCTGAGTCTCTTGGACTTAGCACGGTGCCGAACGCTGGATGCTGCAAGCAACCTCCGCAAGGTTTGGGCTTCGTTTGACCAGAGAAGCAGGCGCCCTCACAACCAAGCTCATGTGACCTCCTCAGCTCCAGTAGCAGCTCTTCCTTACCATCTCCAATCAACACCGAGCCTTGGCTTGCCCGGTTTCGGGGCTTTGGGTTTATTATTTTTTTAGGGCTTAGGTTCAATTTTAAGGGTGCAGGGAGCTTATGGCTTAGGTGTTCTATTCTTGATTTGGAAACAAAGGGACTAGAAGTCTGGGTTCTGCATGTACCGGGAGTGACTCCTTGGAAGGTGAAGTGACCGAGCAAGCTCTTTCACGGTTTGGAAGTCAGGGTTCAACACGTTCTCAGTTCCGGCGAAAGAGAGTTGGGGCCGGACTTGGGGGCACTGAAAGCAAGAAATCTGCAGTTGACAGCCTGCAGTTCAAGAACCTGGCAAGGGAAGGGATTGAATCCAAGGGCGTGAATGGAGTTAGAAGTGGTCCAAGGTTTCAGGATGTGGCTCGCAAGGGATGGGAGGTCCGGCGTTGGCAGTCTATCTGCAAAGTATGTGTCGTGAACCTCGAAAACCCTACGTGCCCGCTAAGGCCGGCGTGCTTGGGTCATTGGGTGCACCGCACCTTCAGCTTCCTAAACGTCGTTCTGTCAAAGCACACCCTACAAGCCTACACGCCCAGGCAGATGCATCTGCAACCTGCTCGCCTAAGTGGGGGTACGCATCCGACTTCTGCAGTTCGTCTTGGCACATGCCGATCCTTGTTTTTATCAACTGCGCCGACCGCTGCGACTGGTTGGGGGCGCATGGGAGCACAAGCACTCTCAGGCAAAGATGAAGTACTTTGCTGGCAGGATTTCCTGGCAGGTCATTGCTCACAGTCTCTCCCAATGACTGCTATGAATACGCATTTCTTAGAGAGACAGCAACTACCGAGCCCCTTGCTGGGTTGGTGCCCGATTGGATCAAGGAGTTTGGATTTAGCGGTCTAGCGGTCTAGCGATCTGGAGGGAGGTGCGCCTAGAGAGACCCCATGTCGCTCTATTGTGAAGTTGGAGAGCAGCTTGCCTGGCTGTCCATGTAAAGGATCATACGGCAGCTTCGGCCAAAAACAGCAGGCACAGCCCCCAGACTTCCCAGGTCACCCTCTTTTCCACACATGTCTATCTATTTGTCCGATGTGCAGGCTGCTTTTATGGCAGGTCGCTCAGGCTGGAGGGCCCCCGACCGGAAGTCCATGAACAAACCGGTGCTGCAAGGGTGGCGTATGAGACCGACTCTGGGCACATGGATTCGGTGCATGTTCCATGCTTTTACACCTCTTGGCACTAGCACGAAGGCATACATCGCTCACGAGGTCCCAAAGAGAGCAAAGTCCCAAGCCTGAAGCCGTCAATCCCATGACGCAAGAAGAGAGCTGACTGGAGACGACTACTACGACCACCACTACAGTATGGCTCCATTGCAAGAAAAATTATTAGGGGTTTGGTTCTGTGGTTCGTGTCCCGTGATTTGTTTCCCTTGCCACCTCGGCCTGGAGGAAGCAGTTTCGCAGCAGTCACATCTCACAAAGCCAATCCGGGGAATCCTGGGTCACGTGCTTCAGATACCCACTTGCTTTCGTGTTTAAAGGCGTGGTTCAAGTTGGGGTTGTGAGCTGACGACCAAGACCTAGGCATTGTTTTTCTTCGGCTCTCGGCAAGCGGAGGGAGGGTGTGCCGATTCTTGTTGGAAGCTGCGGAGACTTTGGAAATCTTTGTACTGGCTGCCAGGATGAATCCCTCCGTAAAGCAACCAGCGGTTGTGAGCTGAAACCGAATGATCGCGAACGCCTGCCCGAAACCAAACCTGAAGCCAGGACGGGACGATTCTCCCACGACACCTTTCACCTTCGAACCGCAAACACAGCATACAAAAACCAAAACAAACGGTCAGAACAGCTTTCCATCGACGTCCTAGAATCCGAGGACGCTGCGGAAAGGAATTCCCTTCGCAGCCCAGCACATGCAGGGAGCGAATGGTAGAAAGGTCGGGTAGCACCTCAAGCTGATTGTCTCCCACACAAAGTACATGAAGATCGGACGACAAGTTCTGCAGCTGGGGCAGCTCCCGCAAGTAGTTTCCGCCAGCATCCAGAAAAGAAAGGCGCGGCAGCGCATCCAAACAGGGAAGCTCATGTAAACGATTCCCGAATACATTTAGCTGGTGCAGTTCGGGATTGTCCAAAGGAGGCAAATCTTCTAGCAGGTTGTGCGCTACATTCAGGTTCTCCAGCTTGGGGCTTCCGACGAGGTCAGGCAACCTCTGCAAGCGGTTCCATTCCAAATTCAGCACTTGAAGTGAAGGTGGCAAGGGTCCAAGGGACGAAAGCAAGTTATTGTTCGCTAAAATCTGCTCCAGGTGCTCGCTCGCGTTGAATACCCAAAGCTCGGTCAGATGGTTGCACTGCACAGACAGCGAAGCTAAATCCGTCAAGTGCTCCAAGCTTGGGAGCCATTGCAGCTGGTTGTTGTTGACGTTCAGATGTCGCAGCTCAGAATGCTTGTCGATGCCTCGCTTCTACTGAAAACCCTCACAGGAAAGGCGCCCAAACCTAATCATTGACCTGATCTAGGGACCTCAGCCGATTCAAAAGGGTGTTGAGGCACATCGACGTAAACTCAAAGAAAGGAACGCGAAGGAATAGATTTGGTGCTTGTTCAGAGCCTTAGAATCCTAGAGGGCCCCAAGGCTTTTGCGTTCGAAAGCGCGCTCTGGTGCCATTGCGCTGTCAGCCCGCATCGGGCTGCGGATTTCGGTCTTGGGGCTTTCGGGCTGTGAGGCACGTGGCCTTTTGTCTGCCGGGCCCTGCAATCCAAGAAGCCGGGAAGCTCGACTAGCAGGTTGTAGCCCACATCCAAGTTCTTCAAATTGCGAGAGAGAGGGGGCAGCTGCTGCAAGAAGTTCTTGGCCAAGCTGAGCTCCTCTGCGGTGCTCATTTTGCCATGCCGAAGTCACTGCTGCTTTGAAAGCCCCGCAAATCGTCTCGTTTGCAGGCTAACTATTGTACCGTTAAATAGTGGAAGCTCAAGCACCACGACAGGCAAAGATAGGTACCATCAAAGACTAGAGGAAAGGCTTGAACCCGACAGTACAACATGAAGCGATTCTCATTTCTCAACACTTCCGCGGCTCACAAACAACAAAGAGCACTTCGAATCTGGCGCAATATTGCGCAACAGAGGTGGCACCGAAAGATACTTTGCAGATTTATTAGCTTGGCTTCTGCTCTGATGTTGAAGTGCCACGCACGACAGCCGTTTGAGGTGCTGTTGTCAAGGTCTCGGGGCGGTATGCTGCAGCAAGTTCACATCCATAATAACATGTAGGAGCTTCACAAAACATGGGGCTTGGAAGCGTTGTGCAGCACCAAATAGCCGAACGTTAACATGCTAAGCACTGAATGAGCTCCTTCAGCGATTCCAGGTTTTCCAATCCAAAGACCTGGCATGTGGTACGTCGTCTAGGCTACGTCTGCTGCGCGAGATTCGGATCTTGAGCTGTGGAGTCCTACAGGTATGGTGTTTAGTTGCTTTCGGCATTGGGAAAATCACGGCTGGCGATTATCCCGGATCCTCCATTATCCCTAGAGAGAGCACAGAGGCAGCCTGAGCAGTAGTCGTCGTCGTCGTCGTCGTCGTCACCGCCGTCGTCTTTGTGGCTACTGTACGAGGCACCCTGCCGCATTGACGTACGTGCAGCTTACGGGGCTGCAGTTGCTTCTACGGTGACTACCGTGATAACAACGACGACTATCATTGCTGCTGCTACTACGACTGAGACTACGACAACAACAGCGACGGCGACGATGACCATTGCTGCCGACTGCTACTGCTACTTCCACCGCTATGCTGTGGCTGCGGTTACAAAGTGCACCACCGCAGGATGCAAAGGTGGGCAACACCCGCACCTCTTCCAAGTTGTTGTAATCAGCATCGACGGAAGAGAGCGACTGAAACTGAGGCAGGCGGAGATCCAGCAGTCGTAGCTTGTTGTAGCTCAAACTGAGTGACGCCAGCCTCGCATTCGGGCTCAAAGGAGGCAGCTCCCGCAACGCGTTCTGCGATGCACCAAGCACGCTCAGGGTGTCCGCCATTTGCAAGGAGGGGAGTTGCACCAGCTTGTTCATTCCGACTTCCAAGAGCTCCAGTTCAGTGCTCGCGTCCAGACTGGGCAGCTTCTTGATAAAATTTCCAAAGAGTTTGAGCATCTGGAGATTCGGGAGCTTGTTGAGTGGAGGCAGGCTTTCCAGCGAGTTCCACTCGGCAGCCACAACCATCAGCTCTGGATTTCCTTCAAGGCTGGGCAGAGTCTTCAGGCGGTTGTGGGACACGAAGAGTCCCTTTAAGCGCGGGTTCAGGCCCAGAGGAAGCAGCTCTTGCAGCTTGTTGTGCGTCAGGCTGAGCACGGACAGCTGACTGTTCTCACGCAGATTGGGAGCCTCCGATATGTCATTGTAGCCGGCGAAAAGCTTCCTCAAGCGGAGATTCCCGTCTAGCGGCGGCAACTTATCCAAGAGGTTCTGTTCAACATTTATGTATTCCTCAGTTGATCCGGGAAGCCACGCAGGTGTCTCACATCCTTCTATAGGCCCAGACTGGGCTTCGCATTTCCAAACGGTATATTTAAAGAAGTTCTTGCGCACCTGAGAGTCCAGCGCCGCATTGGATGCCAAGCTGGGCAGGTGGCTTAGCTGGTTCTCTTGGACGTTTAAGTCCAGGAGGTGAACGAGGTTGCTGAGAGGTGGAAGCTCCTCTGCGAGCGGCAGTGCTGTTCGGCTGGTTTTGGCGGTTGAGGGCTTTCAGAAGCTTCCATGCTTCGCCTTTGTGGTTTTTCGTTCTTTTTTGTTGTGCTTGGTTTCTAGCCACTGCTGAAATGCACTCCAGGTAGTGGGTAGTTCTGATGGAAGCCTCAGAAGCGTCTCGTGGGAATCTTGAGCTCAAGCCCCAAATCCAAGAAACCCACAGCGGCCTCCTTAGTCGGACTCCTTCGATCATGCAGATCCCTAACAATCTATTCAGAATCTATTCGTATATCTTTTCACCTCGAGTGTGAGCATCCTTTGAAAGGATTTGCAACGTATCATTGCCACACCCTCCACGTACAGTTTCTGCACGCTTAGAGCACTTACTTATTATCTTTTCTGTGGATCCGTGAGAAGGCAGTTCTGAACAAGTATCATTCTGAGCCACCGTGAAACAAAAGCGTGGCTGGACAAGCACGTGCCAAATTCAAATTTCGCTTGAGCCCGAAACCCTAATGCCCGCACTGAGAGTATTAGAACATTGCAGCCAACGAGGAAAAGAATTGCCCCGGATCAACGTCCTGAATGTGATTGCCCGGTAAGTACAAGAACTGGAGCTTGCTGTTCTTGTCCAAGGCTGGGAAATGCGGATGCATCCAGCAACGGTGCAGTTTGAGCACCTGAAGGCATACAGTGTCTTCCAGTGCAGAGGACCAGACAACACTAATCCATCGATTCTCGCACCCAGCTCTCGGCCCAGGCCTTTACATCATACAAGCGTAGGGTTTATCTCACATCAGTCGGCGAGAATACACGTCATCGGAATGTGGACGCAGGTTCAAGGAATTACACATCAGTGGCGAGAATACCCATCATCAGGTACTACTCCCCATGCAGACGCTGCTTTTAGTCTTCAAGTCAAGTCGCGCAAGCTCAGTCTTCAGGATATGCGGCGGACGCTGGGTTTCAAGTGCTTTTCATTGCATTCTAGAGCACATTTTGGCGCCGGGTCCCCGGGTGGACGCTGCTTTTGCCTGGGTATCGAAAAGCATTCGAGATCCACATTCCGAGTTTTGGACCTTTGGCTGCAATCGCGGTCCACATATCGAGCACTGACCTTTGAAGCAAGACCAATGCCATCAAAACCAGCCAATCCCCATGGAGACACTTGTTTCAAAAGCGCGTAGATGCTCGAATCACAAGCGCACGCACAAGACACACATCAGTGGCATCACAGTATGCCCAAACCAGCCATTGCCCATGTGGGTGTGTCTCTGTCTCTAGTCCTATGTATGTTGTTGTGTGCGTGCGTGTACCCTGCACGTGCGTGTACCACGCGCCAAACACTGAGACCGAGACTGGTTTGGATGAGCTGGACCTATTTTCCACAGGGCCATGTGATTAGCTCCGAAATGGACGAGCACCTTTTCGAGACACACATCCGTGTCATCAGGGTACATCATGACCGGTGAAGACACTCGATTCCACAAGCACCCGTTCGAAACACAAGTGGCATCACGGCACATCGCAACCAGCCATTCCCCATCTAGACGCTCGATTCCACAAGCGCACACTCGAGACGCACATCAGTGGCAGCAGACCGCATCCAAACCCGCCATTCCCCCATCTAGACGCTCGATTCCACAAGCCGCTCGAGACACACATCGGTGGCAGCCAGCCATTCCCGATCTAGACGCTCGATTCCACAAGCACCCACGCGAGACGAACACCAGTGACAGCACACCACATCCAACCCAGCCTTTCCCCATCTAGACGCTCGATTCCACAAGCGCCCACTCGAGACGCACATCAGTGGCATGACAGAAAATCAAGACCAGCCATTCCCCATATAGACGCTCGATTCCACGTGGAACCATCGGATCGTTCACAAGTAGAAGTGATTGTTTGAAAGCGGCTTCCCGAGTGTGGACGCTCATCGATGCATCTTTCAACTCAGTGATGCGAGATAAAGCGACCACTAGCAACGATGGTTGTTACTACTGTTGCTGTCCTCAGCGGTTAGTCATTGTTGCTAACGGTTTCACTGTTCTTGCCATTACCAGGTTTACTTTTCTACTTGTTGCCGACAGGGGAATCGAAAGACGATGGCCCAAGTGAGTGCATTCAGTTTCGGGTCTGGGGGGTCAGTACGGCAGGCGCAATAAGGTCCCGGTTTACACCTCTCAACTCCGTCGCACAAAACAACAACCTCCGACTGGGCGAGTGGAAAGAACCACTGAGGGCTCTGATTCAATTATTCTTTCGTCAGCCCGTCCTGGAGAGATCTGGACTCATCGAGCCTAATGGCTTGGAATGTAGTGCAGATAGCCTAGCATTTACTTAGGGTTCAGGTCCTGATCACTATCATTGAAATCTGAGACAAGCCACGTCACCTAAAAATACAAACTCACTAAACACTTCTGTGACTGTAACTTAGCGAGTAGCATGGCCCGGAGCAGAGGCTCGTTGCTGCAGGAACGCCTTCGCTCATAGAAGGCGCACTCGCATTCGGCGCCCCAGAGGTCGAACCGAAAAATGCCTGAGGTTCCATTCGGGCCGAGGGTTCAGGGTTCAAAACGCATGGTCTTTAGACTTGACAGATACACAGTCGTGGCTGCTGAGCAGGAGGGATGAGTCGTTGATCTAACGTATCTGCACTTCGTTCGACATTCTGTTGCTTCCTGCATCTGAAACACTCAAGGACTGGAAACGATACGTTCGCTGCTTGGGTTCTCAAACATGCGAGGCAACGAGAAAAAACCGATAAAACAACGATATGCCGGACCGGCAGTATCGAACTGGTATGACAGGAGACTTCTTCATTATCTGAAAGACGGACCAAGATGCAGCAGCCCATATGGCCCATATGTGTATGTGTATACATATATATATATGTATATAGGTGTGTATATCTATATCTATATCTGTATATATATATATCTATACATGTATGTATGTATATGTATATGTATATGTATATGTACATGTACATGTATATGTATATGTATATGTATATGTATATGTATATGTATATGTATGTATGCATGTATGTTTATTTTAAGAAGGATCAAGATGCAGCATCCCTCTCGCCACTTCTTGGTCCAGCACGGCGATCGCAATCTTGCCGTCATGCCCAGGAGTCCAACTGCCAGCCCAAGCACCATGTACAAACCACCCAGGGCCTGTGAGGATCTTTCGGCTTATAATGGCCTAGATCTTTGCAGGGCCGATGTATTGAATGCTACTTGTTTAGGACTTAACCACAAGTGAAGCAAAGAGCAAGAGCTTCCAAACTGGGTTGAGGAGCGCGAGGGCAGCGCCATCTGTGATCCATCACCGCCTTCTGGCTCCAGAGCGTGCGAGACGTCTGCAGATCGAAGAGCCGAAGCAATAGCGAGAAGTAGGGCCAAGCAAGAGAAAGCAACTCTGATAGGCTTGTAGGCACCAGGCCTTTGCCTATCAGGAATGCTTGGACGCGTTCTGCGTTGGCATCGTCAGGTACCATGTCAAGGTCTGTGGTTAAGTATGTGATCGTGACATTTGTAACCATGAGTACTGGCAGAACGGCTGCAAAGGTAGTATCCATAGCTGCATCGAACAGGACGAGGAAGAATGTGTTGTTCTGAACACGGGGCGAGAAATGCAAGACTGGCGTTACCACCGCATTCAAGCAGATCAATAGAGAATACACGCAGATCCAAACAAACGCCTGCCCCATGTACAATAGGTTCATCAAGCGCTTGCTTTGGTTGATGAGCTGCAAAATCTCCAGCACAACCTGGCACAGGAAGGACTAATGAGAAGGGCGTGCTCGATGCAACAGGCTATCTGCCGATGGGGCCATAGGCTATAGGTATAGGGCCTCGAGTTCAAGCCGGATGCAAGGAAGAACTCAAATCAATTTCCCAGTCCTAGCTGTGTGCTTGCTCCCTGTACTTACTTAAACTGACCCCTAAGGGTGCATGGGGTCTTCGTCTGCATTTGTCACGGTGACAAGCTGCTTGTACACCAATACTGACCAAATCAGTGCTCTAAAGCTCGCCCTTCAGCAAGAGTAGTCGCCCACACTTCTCTCATGGTTAACGGTACCGGTAGGTGGCTGCGATGCTAGGTGGCACTGATTATTGCCATTATTCCTGGCGTTTAAGGGCGAATGACGACTGCATTGCCTTAGAAGTGCCTTACTGAAAAGGACGACAGGATTGCTCTCGTGGTCCGCTGATGCGCTCGAGGCCCTCATCCCTCATCAGCACTCAAAAGTCTGTCACTTGTGTGCCGCTAACGTTAAGGTTGTGCCTTTCTGGAGCCTGCTCGAGTACATCGACAGATGTCATCGGCTCAGTGAAGAGTTCAGCATGTCGACATCATGCGACACATTTTCTTCTGGCGTGGGGGGGTCTCTCTATACTTCATCTACACTAGGCCCTCGCGACACCTTGCAGCCGAACTTACAGGCTCGATGGAAGCCCCATGGAAGCATTTGACATGCAGCGTCATTGTGTTTTGCCAACAATCTGCTGCTCCAGTTTTTGCTGCCATGGGGCTGCTTTGCTGTGGAAGTACTTGCCCGTGGCCTTGAACTCCTTCAGCCACCCCTGGGATGGTCTATCACAAGCTAGCTCCTCCACAACACTCCACAAAGGGCCGCGCACACCTGACTATATTTACTAGAGCCAGAAGCAAGAAGCATCAGGAACGCAAAGGAACCAGCGACCAGAAAGAACTATTTCAGGAGATCCTAGCTCTCCGCAGGCCGTGCAAAACATCATGCGAAAACTTTGCAAACCGCCGGACTCTGAGAGTGTTAAACTGAGCGAGCATCAGCGCAGAAGCACCACAACTCGAACCCGTGGGGCCCTTTAAGCGGACGTAAGCCTACCTTAGGCATGCTTGCATCGGAGGCACTCCGCTCCAGCGAAAGCTGTCGGAGGCAGCTTCTGCAGACGCTTCGGCACTGCTCATTTGGCCTTCGCCAGACTTTATGCAAAAAGTGTCTAGGCTCCCAGGCTTTTGCAAGAATTACGGGTTGATCTTCGCGACAACTTGGCAGTCCAGAGTGGGCCTTCTCAAGAACAAAACCTTGCCAGATAAGCCTCTCAAAATTCCCGGGGCAACCGAAACCATGATGTCGGAGCCTCAACTGCCTTAGACCCCAAGGCTTCCCGTCACAGCACTTGACCCAGACAGTATTCCGAAATCACAGGGGCTGCCCCTTTCCATACGGCTTCCCGCACTACGGAGCACGTGTATATACATGTCGGGCGAAATCTCAGGGCCGGAGACTCACTTAGGCATGCATACTATTACCAGTCGGCCAGTTTGCAGCAAATAACTAGGGTCAACTCCTCTCACACAGAAACACTTTCAGCCGAATTGCAAAGGCCCCAGAAGGTGCCGGCCGCCAACAGGCAAAATAGTAGAGGGGTCATGACCTCGCTGTTGACGGCTTCGGTCTCTTAGCCTTCGGGTTTAGATGAGGGGCCTATGGTGTCCCCCTTTTCTCTTGGATGTTGCAATTGTCTCCAACCTATAGCCGGGGGATCCTCAGATCGTAACACACTTCGGTGGAGATTCCCTCAGCAAACAAGTGGAATCCCTTCTGTATGAGCTCTTCCCCCAGTATAGAGATGTGCGCCCTATTTCACAATAATACTAATTATAATAGCAATAAAAATCATACTAGCAATTAATATTGATAGTTAAAACAATAGTAGGGTCTGGTTGTCGGGGGTCGAAGCAATAGGTTTGAGCCGCCAGCTGGGCGTCATTTAGGCCGTTAACACTTCCACAACCTTTGTGTCGTTGTCGTCGTCGTTGGATGTAGCTCAGTTAGGCTAGACATGCGGTGTTCCCAGTCCGAGGCGCAGGGAATTCCGGAAGGAAGAGGCTGGCCAGCTGGCGTGCTGCCAGGACATTCCTCGCGCTTAGGAGGCTTCAATGCTTCGGAGTGCGAGCTGCAGCTTGGAGGCTTTCAGGAGGCGAGTTAGCTCAGGATCGAAGGAGACTGGGCGGGGTACATCGGCCCGATTGTCGGAAGGGCACCGGATTCCGACCAGCATGGCTCCGAGAAGTCAAGCAACAAGCAAAACGCCCAACCCCGTGGCAGTGCAGGAGCAAGAATGCCAGTTGCAGACCCCCGGATCGCCAAGTTGGTGTTGGTTGGCTTCAATCGGTCAAAAATGCTGACCTAGCAGTCTGCGCAACTTGAAACGCAGTTACAATCAAGTCTCAAGGCCGCAACTGCCAGAGAGCCAGCCAGGGCTGCGACAGCAAACGATCCCGCCACGGCCTGCAAGGAATCTCAAACCCGGCAACCACCGATCGGCTCTACACATAAATAACAGCGGTAAGGCTTGCGGCGTCGGCTTTCATCTGGATTTTTAGATGGCTTAACAGGTTTTTCACCCTACCTCTTGAAGGATTCGATGGGGCCGCCTAGTTCTCAAAATAGCTGGGACTACATAGCTGGAAGCACTTCAAGTTCAAGACTGAGCAACCCCCCCTTCCGACAAGATTTTTGTCGTTATCGAACCCACCAGGGTAATCTCCAAGTGAAATCTTAAAGGGGCCTGAATTGAAGCTCTTAACTTTTCTATACCCTGAAAGACTTTCCAAACAGGCAGAGGACAGGTCAGGTCAGCATTGGCTTTCAGTCCCCTCCCTGCGTGAACAAGGCTCCCAGGGGGCCCGCACTCCGACACTCTGAAGCGTAGGGTTTGGGGATTAGGGGGTTAGGGGTTAGGGATTAGGGGTTTAGGGATTGAAGGTTCGAAACCCTGCCGCAGGTTTCCAAGGCTCTACCTACCTACCACCGGCAAACCTCAGAAAAATCCTCAGGATCGGAGGCCTTAACGCGCTTTTGGGGAGGAGCAGGTTCCGACAGCAGCTCCTCAGGGAGGCAGTCTGAGTCTTCAGGTCACATCTAAACCTTTAGGCATGCCAGGCTTCAGGCCCAAACAAGTTCAGGGGTCTTGTACACGAACATGAGGGCCTTCGACTCCTATATATCTCCACAAAAGTTTTAAGATCTGATCAATAGGTCTTGACACCCCCTCCTAGATGCTGAGGTGAGATTTGGTTTGCTTCTGATGCCTGGCGCGACTATCACTTGACCACCTTGCTTCGTCGGCACTGCACTCGACCGCTCTCTTACTTTACAGCATCCTCCAGCACATGCGCATGTCGAAAAATCCTTTGTGATCTGAAAAAACCATCCTCTGGAACAGTCAGCCACGAAGGCAGCCGCGCAAGGGTCCGCATCTCAATTTCGCTCGGCATGGCTTTGCGGGTAGTCTTCTAAGATCACATCTTCTTGTTGCTGATGGTATCCAGATTTTTCCTGGTTGGCATGAGCGTTGCTTGTCGTGCAACCCATTTTGTAGTTTCTGTCATTGACGGTTTTGCTTTCAATCTTTCTTGTGAGGATTTGGCACCTTGGTTGCAGAAGGTTTGGGATGTGACAGTCAATCGACTTCAACGACCATAATGCATTAGGTGCGCATGTGCTGCGCAGGCAACCTCCAATCCAATCTGACCTCCATGGCAGAAACGCCGCAAATACAGCTGTGAGTTGGATATGTTGAAGGCATGCTTGGGATCCATAGAAGGTGCAGAGACACCATGTTCGGGCTTCGGCTTCAAGTTGAATGAAGAGCCTCGAGACCCATTCCACGGCCTGGAGATACAGAAGATATCCTCCAATGAAGCTTTAGTGAGCTCTACGAGTATTGCTGACCTGTTGGCTCCTCCACTGAAAGCAGCAAACTCTCGAGTTTGTACTCTGACATGCTCCACATGTGGAGCTCTTGAGGATAGCACAGCAGCCTTCTACGCTGGCCGCAAGCGGCACAAAGATTTCACCGGCTTGACCACCGGCGCGCAAGGCTCTGGGAGTTCGTATGCAAAGCTGCTCCTGCGCACACCTCGGCAGTTCCTGTCGGAGATCTCTAGCGTCCTTGCCTGCATCCTCAAGTTTCCTTCCATTCTTGCATGCTGAGGGTTTAAATGTTTCAGGAAATCAATGCAAGCCTCGTGCAAACCGACAATGAACCTCAGTGCCAGGCATTTGCGGTGGCATTCCTCCAGAGACCTGGGAACGATTCACTTGACATCTAAGGTGATGGCTGGGCAATAACGGAGAGACAGGTACAGTAGGGTCGGAGGGTCAAGTCCTGCCCAAGAAGATTCTTTTGCACAGCCTGGTGAGGCAGTTCTCAAGGTTCTACCTCTGACACAAACTGGCTATGCTTTACCTGCCAGCGCAAGGCAGGCCAAACCCGCAGTTGGAGTGAAGCATGGCACCCCTTCCCGGGCTGACAGACATACCAGCTCAAGCTAAGCCTGCGTTGCTCTATGGCAGCGGCTCCAAATGTTTGCTTTACTCGGGTGGAGGCGGATAAAGGAGGGCTTGGTCCCACGACCCTGCTCCAACCTCCCCTCTTCTTTTAAAGAAAACACATGAAAAACCCCAAAGAATCTGAGGGCCGGACTGGCTCTTGCGGTTCAGTTCCCGAATCTCCTGCTTCGGGCTTCCACTTTTGTCAATCTCTGGTTGTTTCTTGCTGCTTTTCCTGTTGAAGCTTGGCGATGGCTCTTGTACTACCACGACACTTTGGCTTTTGAAACCACACTTCGGAAGATTGAATGCTATGGGCTTCAAAGAGGTGAGTTTCATCAAAACCAACGTTTGGATGTGAACTGGTCGAAGCCAGTCATGCACACAAAAGTTGTGCTCACCAGCACACTGCCGCTCCGCGCAGACATCATAAGTTCTTACTGAGCCCTCTACATGAATCCACATTCCATACCGACTCCCCAATGTGTTAGGACATCTTTGTGTTTCTGCTCTTGTTGTCCATTACTCTATGACTGCATGTTGCACCGGATATTCACTCTAAACGTTCGTCCTACTCAACATCGCCTCGACACGTTGCCACTGTCTCGTTCATGAGCAGCATGCTATTACTACGGTTGGTTTGTTTCACAAACTTCGCTGTTCCAATTCCTTCGGTACCATAGCAATTAAGCAATGACAACCATGATCACAACGTTTGTGATGAGGCAAGGTTGATTGAGCATTGAATACGGCCTTCCTCATCAGTAGTCAGTAAATCTGCATTCGGAAGCTCCTGCTGTTGCCACACAACCTGTTTCGAAACAGATTCCTTGAGCGCTCTCTGATCTTGCTTGGGTTTGGGAAAGTCCTGCACGAGCTGATTGTATTGAACCACTGGCAGCTGGACTTTGGCCATTCGGTAGAAGGACTCACTCGGGTCGATGGTAGTGTACCTTCCGCAACGAAAAGCAGGTCTTCTTCAGGGTTTAGGATTCCCTAGACCCTAAAGCGAGTCTTCATGTCCCTCTGCTGCTGGGTCTAGATACTCTGGATGGGTGTTATGGTTCGAACATCCGAAGCTGGCCCAACAGGACTCATTATCTAGATTATCTAGATGTGCTGCCAGGCTAAACTTCAAGGTACTTGTGCCGGAATTCCGGTTTCGCCAGTTTTTGGGCGTAAGGCTTCTGGACCGCAGCTTCCGCTTCAAGCTTTCCGGTCGCTAAAGGCCAAGCCGCACCTCACCCTCACCCCAACCCACCGCTTGTCCAACCCTCATCTTAAGCCTTTCGACTTTTCGATCGGCTGACCATCCACGTACAAAGACCTCGAACCAAGGCCTCAGTCCGATCTCTCCCCCAGCCGTCCTAAACTTCCTAGAACCTTAAGCCCAACTCTATGAACCCTTTAATCCTGAAGCCCATGGACTGTGCAATAGGTTCCGGGAAATGCCTCAAGCAGCGTTTGCAACTATAATCCCTCGTTGTCTTAGTACCTCAGACTCAGGCTGTTCAGAAGCAAGCAAGCTGCCTGGATTGTCAACGATGGAACCCCCCACGGCGGACAACGTTTTTCCATCTTGCAAGCTAGGCGGCTGGACGGAGTCGCCAGGACGAGGCCAGGCACTGCTTGACTACATTCCGAAGCCCTAACATTTAGCTCGCACTTACCAAAAATAACAGTCATAAGAAGAATAGCAACGACAGTGATAATAATAACAAGAATAATGGTTGTCTTAACCTCCACCCCCCAAGATCCGACCACTAACGAGTGACATCCAGACCGCAATCATGCTCCATGCCGGCTCGCGCACCTCTTCGCGCAACAGCTGATGCAAGTGCCGGAGCTTTTCTTGTAGGGTACAGGATCAATATCGTGGAGGACTACCGTCTCTTCTGCGACAGACTACGAGGCCCATGGTAGCGATGCTCAGATGCTACTTATACCCCTTGGGGCGTGCACGGAGTCAGGATCGGAGGGGTGCAATTCGCTTTTCCGCTCAAATACCACTTCCGGTGGTATATACTGCCGAGATGGAGGCCTGTAGAGACTGGGGTTCAACTAGTGAGGGGTCTACATTATGCTCGAGTCGAA